AAGTATCCAATAATGCCATTCTAAGGGACATCATATCATCGTAGAAAGCAAAAAGAATACTGCAGTTCCAAATGCAACAGTCATCATGCAGACAAATTTTTTTAAAGCAGTTTATTCATTTTCTCTATTCGTATGAGACGGCAAACTCAAACCAAAAAAATTATGTAGAATCAAGAAATAAGGGATATAGCTCACAGAGATGGAAACAAATATAATTTCCCACTAAAACTCAATTTGGAACCACCATGTTTCAAAGAAAAACCAAGAGAATTGTAAATACAAAAACGTAGTATTCCAAAATCAGACCACTTCATTCAATTGGCTAACAAGACAAGTAAACAAAGAAAACTAAGCATGGATATAATTTTACGCTACAAATTCATCCCTAAATGAAATGTATACTCCATTAGATTTAATAAACAGAAAACAATAACTGCTAGTATAAATCGATGGTAAAAACAAACATCAATATCAAATGACATTGATGCTCACAAATATTCATCTTCATCCTACGTCGTGATCAACTTGAAATTAGAAGAGGAAACAGTATGCCTCTTCAAAATTACCAATTCTTCAGGCCAAGACAAGACCAAATCAATGGCATTCACCTGAAGAACTTTTCTGCACCACAAGTGATAATTGCAGATGGGTCTGGTGTGCCATTCAAATTTGCACCAATAAGATTCTTCCCTGCTAAAAGTTCCACCTAAACTCATGAAATAATATCTTAAGTGTTAATTGGACTATAATAGTTGCAAAGGGCGCTCTTATATACAAAAACAGTATAATTCTCAAAAAAACCAAAAGATAGTTGCCAGCACAAGAATAAAGTTACCTTGATTAAATATGCAGAATTAGTTTCAGGGTCTCCCTTTAACTGGCCCATTTACAAAATAAGTGCACAACTGCATGTCAAACAAGTGATAAATTACTCCGGGAACTAATAATAGTGAATGAAATGAAATATAAGAGTGATCCGTTAGTAAAACATAAAATTATAAATTTTTCGGATATTCATATTCTTACTAGTTAGAAATGAAGTTTAAAAATAAGTAAATTAAACATTTTGTTCCTTCAACTGCCTCTAAAACATAAAATTATAATTTTTTCGGATATTCATATTCTTAACTAGTTAGAAATGTAGTTAAAAAATAAATAAATTAAACATTTTGTTCCTTCAACTGCCTCTCAAGGAAAAATAAAAAGAGAGTGGTGAAAACTGAAGTCATCAAGAGAAATCAACATAATTTGTTGATCAAAAAAACTAATCAACGTCAAAGTTGCAACTATCAATCCAAATTAGCGAAAATAACATATATGACCTTGTCTCTATCGTCAATTACATCTACACTGCCACCGGAACAAACGAGGTGAAAAAGGGAAGGGCCAATTAAAAGTCAATATCAGTATCACTGTTCACCCAGGAATAGGACTGTAGATGTAAGTTATCTAAAAATGATTCGAGCAGTTTATAAACTCAGCACCATCTGTATTTTATAACGGGTTTGGTAGTTCGATTCCGAGAAAGAAGGGCTAGACCTAACCTTGTCGGTGTCAAGCTTGGGTTGGATTGGCTCGAAGAATTGGAAGTCAATAAAATTAGCACACATACCCTTTTTTTAAAAATAAAATTTTGCATTTTTTTAGTTTAATTAATTTTTAACCCACTTAAGAAAGTACTTAACCATAAACACCATAGTTCCATTGTATAGACAATTGACTTAACTCTAGTCCCTGATTTATGGTCTGAAAACAATGTTTTAAATAGTAAATTTATAGAGGATGTGTATTTGAACAAAAGAAAAAAATTTGGATATACGTGCAAAATATTTTATTATTTAAATGTATGATTAAAAATAAGTATGTAAAATAGTTGTCACTCAATGGCCTAACTTTAATTCAATTACTCACTAGTCCTAATCCTCCCAACTCCTACCAGCTACCACCATCTCCACCCACCTCCACTGCCACCTTCTACACAGCACCAGATTTGAAGTGAAATTCTTAGACTTAAATGTTACTAAGATTTTTTTTTAGACTTTGCTGCGATAAAGACAATGCCAACTTGTCAAATTTTAGATAGTCCGTGATTTTGAACAAGAGGTTGATGAAGAAGAATATACTTTTGCATTTGGATTTGAATCAATCCCCTACACCCATAGTTATCAAACCCGATCTGGACTGATGGATCGGGCCAGGAAATCGGTTACCCAGGCCCATAAATGGGAAGGGTTGAATAATTTTACACAAATACGAGTGACTCGGTCAAACTTGATGTTTGACCGAGTTAACCCGTCAGTTGACGATTTAACCGGCTATTTTCTTATCAAATCAGGCCAATTTTTATTCCAAATTGGGCTGTTGACTGCTTTAACCAAATTTCAATAGTTTTTCTTTGAATATTTGGCTTTTAAAAGACTTAAGACCATAGTTATCAAACTCGGTCCGGACCAATCAATCGGGCAGGGAAACCATTCACTCGAGCCCTTAATGAGGCCAAGTTAAATAATTTTACACAAACGCAAATGACTCGATCAAACTCAAAGTTTGACCGAGTTAACCCGTCGGTTAACCAATTTAACCGGCTGTTTTCTTGCCAAATCGGGCCGGTGTTTGAATAATTTTTCACAAATGCAAGTGACTCGATCAAACTTGGTTGAATAATTTTACACAAATGCAAATGACTCAGTCAAACTCCGAGTTTGACCAAGTTAATGTCAATATATCATTTATAATTTATTAAAAATATTTTTAAAAAAATTATAGTCCTAATTTTAATTAAAATGAATTGAATATTTAACAAAATAATCTAAAAATATATAAATAATTAATGATAAATAATTTAAAATTTTTAATTTTATCTCAAAGAAAATTTCATATTTAAAAAAGAAAAAAAAAGAAGCTTTTTAGAATTTTTAAGTAATGACCCACCAGTTCAACCACTAACCCACCGATCCAACCACTAATCGATCGGGTCGATGTCCTAATCGGGTTTAATAACTATGCCTACACCCCTCCTAAATTTGAAATTTCATATTTGTATTGTGATGATGTAATTCTTGAATCCGAAATTTCTATATATTATTTTGAGATTGATATTTCCATATTCATACTCTAATTGTGGTTATGTTTATCGGCGACAAAAATATTGATCTAGTGGTGGCCAAAATTCATCCCAAAATTTGAATGTTTTGCGTTAGTTAAATTCTCCATTTTTCATATCCAAGTAGTGGTGATGTTTGACGACGTAATTGTGGTGATTTTGCGGTGCCAAATTTAATCAAGGTAGTTGGGCTTGGTGGCGGTAATTTATCGACATGCATTTTGTCCTTTTAGCCCTTAAATCGAGCAATTTTTTTTTTCAAAATAACCCTCTTTGAATGACATGCTTTTCAATTATATATATATATATATATATTATTATTTTTTTTTTTTTTGAAAGACCTTCATATGTCAAATGTCCAATTTAATTTTATTTAACCACCATCTTTTAATAAAAGTAGCATTCAACTTGACCACTTTGACTCCGTAGTCAATATGTACTCAAACTAGTAGTCATGGTGGTTGAGCTAAACTCAACCACCTCAATCCAATTGTCGAGCTAATTGTAAAATGAAAAAAGGGTAAAGATTGAATATTTTTCATTTTCTAACTGCAAGCACTCAACAAATTAACATAAAATAAGCTACAAGTTCAGAACAAGACATTGAACTGCCATGTCAAACTAGTAGTTGTACTTGTACTATAATAATCTTCAAAATTCAATAATACGCAAGTCCCTTAATGCAGAATTTGTTAACAAGGCCAGGGGAGATGAATATGATAACATAACGCCCTTATTGGAATATATAAATGAAGTTATATATCTGAATAATCACTTATATGAACTATAATACTACAAGAATGGGAAAAAAGAAAAAAAAAATATTCGTATTATTATAAAAAAAAATATTCGTATTATTATAACCTAGTATATTCTATATAAATTACAGAAGCACACTGCTAGCTCTCTAGCAAGGAGATCGGGTGGTAATACACAGAAAACAGAAATACAAAGGATTGAGTGAATTGCCATCAACCTCAATTGCTCAAGCTACGTGATATGTATAAACGACGTATGGAAAACTCAAAACTTCAAGTCATCAGTATTGGGAACTCGTGTGAAAATTATTGTATCATCAGTTATCTATTCTCTTGAATAACAGTAGAAGAGGCAATATTATCTGTCTCGCCACCAGAAATCTTCGACTTAATGTATGAACGAGCAACTTCTAACATTAGATCCACTTCTTTCTTATACTGCAAGGTTGAAAGTCATAATGAGTTTGTTGCAGAAAATTAATCAATTGAACAATTACATGCAAAAAGGGTAAATAAGAAAAGCAATATACCTCATTGATTGCACCAGCTTTTATTTTCGATTGCATCACACACCACTTCTTGAAATGTGCACCTGTGAGGATTGTGAAAATTTGAAATCTCCAGAGTGATCAAGCAAAAGTGCTTTAAGGGATTAGAATAGAATATGACATACAGAAATTGAACACGAACGTAATTAGTTGGATAAAGTTGATCAAAGCATCAGAATGAAATGATACGCTGAACTTGGTTATGGAAAAAGAACAGAAGATGGAAGTAGCTCAAGTTAATAAATATCCAACGGCTTTAGACTAAAGTGAACTGAGTTCATCCATGGATTCAAACTTAATTAAAAGCATGGTGCAAGAAGTCAGACCGAAACATTAAAAAGCTTCTTATAGAAAGAACCCAACTGATATTCAATTCTCTACGTTACTCTAATGATGAACATAGTTTCAATTAGAAACGTTGATTAAAAGGATATGTCAGCAATTAAGTCTGGTATAACTAAAACTGAATTTGTCCATACAATCAAGGGTCTATAATAAATCCAGTTCGCCGTAGAAGAAAAGGATGAATAAATGAACTTGGGAATATAGAAGGCATGTGTCGGTCGCCCAATGGATTTAACGATTTAATATTGGAAGCTCTTTGTAAATTATACCTCATATATGTGAACTTCTAATATTTTTGTTTAAAATTTTCAATTTATTCTTATATTCTTTGATCCCAGCCACGAGTTGATTTGGTTTGTTTTACATACGCTGTCAAGCTCATTACTCCATTAACAATTTTTAGATACAGAGAATTAACAGCTTGGATGGGTCTATTAAAGGTAATAAGCCGCTTGACTCGACCTTTCAATCCGAAAGTTATTTAAATCATTGAACTCATCTAACAAAGACGAGTTAGATGGAATTAAATCCAAGCAACAGAAATACACCCATTGATTGGTGAAAATGGTAACAACTGATGAGTAATGAAGACAAATGATTTTCGTTTTGAGGGAAACAAAAAGGAGGAGAGAGACAAGAAACAAAAGATAATTGTATAGATTACTGCAGTAAGTTTGCTAAGTTGAAAGACAAATACTTTATTATCCATAAATATGTACGAAAGGCATCCACCAAATGACATTGCAATGGCTAAATGTTTGGATTTAGATGCACATGTCACATTTAACTTAAACAACCTCAATGTATTTGCCAAATTTTATATATGTTTTTGGTAAACGTCGGGTAGATGTAGCATTACACAAATCGAAAAACTACAATGCCAAAGGATTAAAAAACAGCAGAAACTTACCAACTTTAATGTCCAAAGTGCATGCGGCCTCAGAGTTTGTAATCAAAGACCATCGACAATGAACCTGACACAGTAAATATGGGTACCACACATACAAAGAATTAAAGTAAAAAAAAAAAAATAATAATAATAAATAAAAATTCATCAATCATTCACCCAACCAATCATTCACCCAACCGATCCTGAAGTTAGAGATGATCAAATGTATAATATTCTAATATGTTCTCGATCTTCATTTATTGACAATAAAGAAAATGTAAAAACAGATTGAATAAATGCATTACGTACCTCGAAGTATGAACCAAATGGAACATCATGTGCCTGTTGTACAGTCTCAAACACCTTAAAAAAAAAAAAATATATATATTATCAGCGTGACGGTAAAAGAAACTACCCAAATAATTGATAATAAGAAAAAAATGGTCTCACCAGAGTTTTCTTATCTGCTGACAAGACAGCATGCTGCCACTCTGTCATTGCTGTATCCGAAGGGCACATGGGACTGTTACACAAGGATCTAAAAGTAATTTCTCTAACTTGACCATCATACTCATCAGCAGCATGCCACTGACCCATCTGAAGTTAGCGTCACAGTAAATTTGAGATGGTTTCTTGAAGATGCTAAATCCAGTGAATTAGAAAAATGCTGACATAAAAGTTGGGTAGACCTCTTCATAGTTGTAGAAATAATTGAGAGAGGGTAAAAAAATTCTTTAATAACAATTTGGTCAAATCTTCATGAATTGGATGCAGACCACACTTTGTCTTCTTTCTTTTACCGACAGAATGTAGATCATGGTGACCCTCTGCCAGCCATCTATTGCAGTCCATTAGTCTGATGAAGCTATAGGCTTCAGAACCGAGGAGTGCCTAACTCTAGGCCTCTGTAATTTTTATGCTGGTCTTCGGCGAAGCTTTATTGGCAATGCAAAGTAAGTTACGAGCAATTATTAACTAGATGGATCTGCCCCCCCCCCCCTTTTTTTGTGCACGTTTTTGGGGAGGTGTGTTGTCGAGTAGTAGGCATGCTAATGTTTGCGTAGACAAGAGTCTGATATAAAACTATCCAGTTGTTCTTACTGACCAAAATATGAAGCTTGAATGATTTTCTTAAACGAGATCATTCAGACAAACTATGAACCAATTTAAAAAATCATTTCATCATTAAGAACCTCAAAGTATTATTAGAAGAATTGGATGACAACAATGATCGAGACAGTAACTCTAAAACTTGATGATTCAACAATTCCAGCTAGACATTGTTACTTACGGAGAGATTAGTATCCTTTCGAGCAGTGCGATACTCATTTGTAAAATTGGAATCATCATCCAGCAAAAATTTGAAGAATTGCTCTGCCGTGCATGGAAAGACATTCTGCAAAATCATTTTGATAAATAAGAACCAATTTAATATATATGAGGCCATATTTGGATACAAAAAGAGAAAAAGAGTTGGGTCATGTATACATTGTAAATGCCAGAAAGCACTTCCTCTTTGATGAATGGTTGAAACTTTTCAGTCTTCGGCAGACTTTTCTCTGAAACCTTAGATTGACCCCTAGTGCCTCTGATGGAGCTGCTATGAGCACGCAATGCTGACTGCTCCTTTTCCTGTGTAATCCAATAAAAATCAATCAGTGTAGGAGATATTCAAGCCATTGAAGCAGATCAGAAAAATTATTAACTCACCATTACAATGCATTATTCATCTTACATTACTGGCAAAAATATATAATCACGTTATGAGACTTCTTTAATAACTAGTCAATCTTAAAATTACTCCATAGGTGTGAGGATTTGATATTATCACAAATTCTACCAAGTCAACATGTTCTTGAAACGAATCCAGGCCTTCAAATCACAAATGTTGCTTCACTGCTTATTGATATGCTATCATGGAAGTAAAGATTTACTATAGAAAATGTGCGAATGTCTCATCTCCGGAACCTCTCCGTATGTCCAATTTCTAGAAACAGAATTAATATTCTAACGAGAAACCTACACATTCAAAATATACGACCTAATATTTTCAATAGTCAAGGACAGAAATAGAAAAAAGTACATTTCTTAAAACAGTCCATGTCATCAAATCACCAAATGACTGTTTATCATAACAGTGCCATACAGTATGAGAAGAAACCCCCCCCCCCCCCCCTTTTTCCCCCATTACATTCCTAGTAACAGAATCAATTTTCTAATGAAGAACCCACCACAGTCAAAATAACCTGCTAGATGATATACTTATTAGCCAACAACAATAATGGGAGCTTGATTATTTTGTAGTGAGTTCTAGTACAGCAACATTTTCTGAGCAGAAGCTATAGAACCAGATAGAAGTACTTGGTACAGCAACAAGTAGTATAGTCTATTTATCATCCAAGTCATTTTTCCTTTAATATCCAAAGATTCATCCACAATGGAGAAAGGAAAAACAGGTCCAACATAGGTATGATCTAATTATTTTCAGTATCACTAGTCTGCAATCACTTTACTTGCACTGGTAATGCACATTGTTCTTGGTTGTGCAACTACTGCACATTATTCTTAGTAATCTCACCTTGTGCAAATTAAGGTTGACATCTGTATAAATTGTAATGACTTGACCTCTACGTCCAAGACTTTATATTATACATATTGTTTGCTCTGGGTGGGCGTCTGCCCACTTACCCCTCACACTATCTGTTGCGTTCCTCAACATTCAAACCCTTGACCTTTCCCTTACAAATGACTTAAGTTGAATTCTGATACCAATTGGACAATGGTTAGTTTTAAACTCCAACGCCTCGAATCTCAATTACCTAAAAGGGAAAAACGATTCTTAATTCTCTTGTCTCCCTATGTATGTTATGATTATTTACGGGGACTATGGCCACCCAAGTTCGGTTTCTGATCCCCGTATCTCCTTATTTACATTAAAAATTTCTAAATTTTAAATTGGCTCACTTATTAGGATTTTATCTCATTGTTTATAATTTTTCCCCTCTTACGTAATTAAGGTTCGAAGCGTTGGAGTTTAGTACTGAGCCCAATTGATATCGAAATTCAATTTAAGTCTCTTATTATTAGGCAGAGGTCTCAAGTTCGAATCATGATGAATGCGATAGAAAGCCGTGACAGGATAAGTAAGCAAATGTCCACCCAAAGCAGACAGGACGTATGATATAACGGTTTGGACAAAGGGACCAGGTCATTACAAATATCACCTTCTACAGGACCTTAGACAGCTTCTTCATTTATTTCCAACTGGTTCTAAGTCGAACATACCTACATGATGAACCACAGTGCACACTATCTCACCGCAAGTAAGTGAAACTAGGATGTCAGATCTTTTCCTCTAAATGTTTTTTATTTTCCTAGACTGAGATACTCCCTCTAGAGATTCCTTTGACTTCTTTTTTGGAAAGCAAATTCCTCTACGATAAAATATTTACTTGGTTAATGGGTCTTAAAATGGTTAACAAGATTTGATGCAGAAATAAAGGCCTAATAGAACCCGATATGTGAACTTCAATGTGAAGACACGAGGAAAGTCATGATCATCTAGTTTTCCTTTCTGCTTTTGCTTGAAATTTGTGTTGCAAATGTTTACAGTAATACGGAAATATTTAATTGTGGCAAAGTTGTGGTATTGTGATTTGAAGATTGTAAGAAATTTTTAATAAGTGCAGCATTTTGCTGCAATGTGAATTTTTTGGGTCCCAAAGACCAAATTGCTCAAGGAGCTCTCACTGGATCATAAATTGTTCTTTCTGTTCCAACTTTTTTGCAAGCCTGAAGAGGGCATCTTTGTCCTCTAATGTTATATTTCTTGCGATCCAATAAACAAGATTCCTATTAATTCATTCAAAAAGAAAAGTAGGACTTAACAAAAGCACGGGATCATACCTTTTTCTCAGCTTCTAACATTGCATGATAGTTATTTACTGAACGTTGTAAAGCTCTCAGTGCATGATTTCTGTTCCAGAATGATGCAAACTTATATCTGACTCGACCTGGAGGAAAGAAATGGATGACAAGGCTGATACATGCACAAAAGAGTCCACATCATAAATGGAAAAGATTACGGGCAAAATCAATGCATAATTGGAGCAGTTCTACAGTGAAACTGATTGCTGTATATTAGTCTCTCTTGCAAGATTAAATGTGCATTGTGTCGAATATCATGGACAAAGCTTCAAGAAACAGATATTCTATTACCACTTTCTCTTGAAACAAATATAAAATTGGTTTATGGCCTAGATTTTTTTTATTTTTATTTTTTGCCATGATTGTTACATTACAGGATCTCTAATAAAGAAAAGAGATTCTCTCTTCAAATGCTATATGAACGTCTAAATGTGTCATTGTGGCTGCCAAAAGAGATAGAAACACCTCCTCTAAAGTACATGATTTTTGGTCCATTTTAGTATCCTAATTTACTGTTTTCCTTCTTTTGAAGTACATGAATTTTGCAAGTCAGGTTTTCAAAGTTTGCCAGTTTCAGATTTATTTGTTTAATGTTGTTCTTTAGCTTGGAATTGAAGATTCCAATTTAACGTACTATCTTGATGACGTATGATATTGTGGATACTATATTTTTTTCCTACACATAGTATTCAGATTAAGCTCCACTATTTCGTGATTTCCATCCGAGCTCCATAAACATTGAGTCAAGTTTTAACCACATTTACTTACTGCCTACTCGTATATACACTGTAACGATGAATGGACTATCAGTTTCAGTTTCACAATAACACAATTCACAATGCAAAAGGCCACCCAGTGTACAGAAGCCACTATGCATGAGAGATGTTCAATTCTGCATTAAATTACATACATGCCTAGAAAAATAAATGACAACAGGGAAAGAAATTGAACAATTAACTTGAAGCTCAATGTTAGTAAGATATTATAAATAAATATTTAAAATGAGAACTGCTGAGCACTTGAGACTTCAAAGTCAACTTTTTGTATCCAAATCGAATTTTCACAAAATTGGCCTGGGCAAATGACAAATAACATCACTAGAAACCTTTCTAAACCTGCTTTAACTATCATCGCAACTTTGTTTCATTCAATAAGAGAGACTCCTAATCATTATTTATTTCAAAATGGGAAGCATTATGATGGCACGATCTCCTAGAGTGTGCCCGGAAAAGTTTGTGCTGTGTAATCTAGACATCACAATGATTTCAAAGCAGAAAGCAATTAAAGTAGCCCTGTGGGATATAAGAAATTCCTGCAGCGAACAGTAACTTCATTCCAATGCCAAATTCAAAGGTGATACCAGCTTCCTTTCATCTAGTGACCTCACATCGGAGTATACTTTCTATAAACTTGTGCAAAATTTGTAAAACATATGACCAAAAGAATTTTACAAATGCTTATAAAGTAATTGGCTACATGCTCCATTCAAACATATGAGAGATTATAGGTAAAAAAATCATCAGAGCAACTTAGATGAAATCCTAATAACTAACCATCAGGATTTCCTAAAGGAGGCACGCCATGTCCACCAGCACCCATACGAAGAATTATAGTAATAGCTGGATTGATAAATGCATGCTGGCTCCTCCTTATCTGAAATGGCAAAACTATAAAGATTCAGTTAATTTTATCCACAGGCCATATGAAAAGTTCAGCATCACAAGTGGAAATGGAAGCAGCATTTACCTCATCTATGTCTCCAATTGGTATAATTACCTGTCAAAATGGAAATGTAAATATAAGAGAAGCAATGCCTGGAAAGACAAAGTAGCATACAGATGAAGTCCAAGTCCAAAAGGACAATCACAAACCTTAGTGAGTGAATTATTCATTTCAAACCAGATGCGTGAAAATAATATAGCCTTCAATATTTATCTTAACATGGATATGTGCAAATTCTGACTCATTCATTCAATGGTTTCTAAGAAAATAGGCATTCCACCATGGATCCCAAAATCCAATAGAAAACATGCAACATTAAGCAAATGCCGTCAATAAGAAGTGGACCCAGAGCTTAGGTTTTGGGGAAAAACATGATTCAACATTTTTTAAGAGCAGTGAAGAAAATACGACAGCTGTTTCCTTGGCATGAAGTTTATGTCATTGAGGCATCACCTGGTGATTAGAGGCACTAAAACTACTATCAGATATCAGATTATTACAGAAAAGAGCTATGTTGTCATGAGGTCTACACTCGAGCATTTTCAATAGATTTTGGTTAGGTGAGGCAAAATGTATAGAGACGGTCCGATGAAGATGAATTCCCCAAAAGCACCAAAAAAAATACTTGCAAGTGTAGATAATTGCAAATAATATAAATTGTAAACTATCATGGAGACTAATTAACTTCTAAGAATTCTTTCATTAACTACATTGTGCATACGCTATACTGCAAAATTATACTTTCTGTATAACTAAGTTCATAAACCTTCTGGTGAGGACACCAGGTTCAGACTGCCACTGACGCATTTCTACAGACGTCGGAAGAAACTTGCCCAGCCACTCAGCCTATGGTTGGGCGATTGACGGGTGCCTATAGTGATATAACCACTCAATAGGGTCGAGTATTCTCTCCCACCCCGGGAGAATTGATGAGGACATCCCAGTCTAGTTTTAATTATTTTAGTTGGACTTAGGTTATTTTAATTTTATGGACTTGTGTATTGGGTTTGGCCCTAGGTTTGCAGTATTTTTCAGTATTTAAACCTATTTTACATTGTTATTTTTCAGTTGATGAATTTGATTAAATAATGAATTGGCTGTAGCCGTTTTCCTCCTTTCTTCCCTCTGTCCCTGTTCTTCTTCTTCTCCCCATCCCTCACCTCTTCTTGTTATCTTTATTGAATTAATCACCCTGCATCAAATTGGTATCAGAGCCAAACCTGGCTTCCTTCACCCACGGCTGAAAATCCAGACAAGTTACTCTTTCCACTAGCGCTGCCACCTTCATCTGAAAAAAGCCCCAACACCGACCATCACTGCTTCAACTTGTAACCACGTCCTTTGGCAACTGTCAACCACTCAAAAGCCGGAACTTCTACCACGAACTATGACCCCCAACATATACTTCCAGCAAATACAACCACCATATTAACGTACTGCGGTCACCTCCATATTCAGCAATCAATATAAACCCATCACCGCCACTAAATACCTCCAGTAGCCAAACTTCCAGTCACCCATCTACAGTTTCTTTTCCCGAAGGCTGCTCCATCGACTGCGCTGCTTGCTTCACCCCAGCCGTCGACACCCAATAATACCCAACCACAAGACTGTCGCAGCCAATTGCGAGACCCAAGGCGTCGACCGCCAGTAGACCAGCGCCCCACAGCCTGACACTCTCTTTCGAGCCAGTCCACATCACAGATGCTGACTCCCACAGATTCCAATCGGGCTTGGTTTATGAGTATGGTTTGGGCTCAATTGGTTTAATAATTAAGTGGGTTGGTTTATTAGTTATCAATTAGGTTTGGGCTTAATTTCAATCGGGCTGATTTATTTGTATCACTTGGGTTTGGACTTGATTTCAATTGGGTTGGATTTATTAGTTATTGCTTGGGTTGGGCTTGATTGAGATTTTGAGTGTGATTTAGGCCCAAATTTGTGAAATGGGCTCATTTATTATTTTGTTGTTCTGATTTTGTATTATTAAAAAAAAAAAGTAAAAAAAAAAGAGTCAAAAAAAAAATTTCTTGAATTTTGAGAATTTCCTGACATTCTTTTATAGGTACATTATTTCCTCGATGAATACGGAATTTTCTATCTCGGCATCTCAGCGCTTAACAGTTCAGAAAGTGGAGGCATTCGACGCTAGGACGACTCGGGCCAACTGAACTCAGGGAGACTCTGATCCTATTCATTTTAGTAACACTGTTATTGTATTTTAGAATTGCATCAATAATTCTTTGTGTTGCTATTATTTTGATAATTTAGCCTTAATCTATTGGATTGAAATTCACGAGCCGACCCCATTGTTCACTCGTTTTACCGCACGTGACTAGACCTAGCATTTGTACGTTTGCTTTTTGTTTTATTGGCATTAGTAGTATTAGCTTGCGATCGGCCCATACGTAATCCCTACGATAAAATAAAATAATAATAATCACACTATATATAAATTTCAGTCACTATTTTCCCTGCTGACACTCGTTGGTTGTTGATCTCAGTAGGCATTTCACCTAACTTGTGTTACCGTGTATGCAATTGCGTAGTGGTCGCGTTACTGCCTCTAGCTCTAGTACCCCTACCATGGACCCTTCCCACATTGAAGCTATCACCCAACAGTTGGCACAATTACAAAATCAATTAACGGTTGTCCAAACTGAGTTAGTTGCTACTCGTGAGGAGAATAGGGCCCTAACCGCTAGGGTAAACACTCTTGACCCAACCCAATCCTCAACTGAGGCTGAAAATTCTGACGCTTCCACTAATAGACCACATCGTCGTCCACAAGGTGGTCGACACCATGCTAGACATGATCGTAGGGAAGGAAATCAAGCTCGTGGACGCGAGCGGGAATATCACCGTCATGGTACACTATCCCCCCTCTCGCCACGAGGAGCGCTTCTTTCAAAATATTAAGTTAGATGCCCCTACATTTGATGGCTGTCTAGATTCTAGAGTATTCAATCAATGGGTTAGGGATATGGATCGCTTCTTTGCCTAGTATGGGGTCCCTGAAGATCGAAAGGTAAAATATGCCAGTTTGAAATTAACTGGCACAGCTCAACTGTTTTGGGAAAGCGTTAAGAACCTCCTAGAGAGGCGCCATGCTCTCCCTGTTGGGAACTGGGATGAAATGAAACGTCGCCTTGAAGAAAAATATTTACCTCAATCTTACAGGGGCAACTTACTAGATGAATGGAACGCACTTACACAAGGCAGTCGACTTGTGACCGAATATGTTGCTTAGTTTGACGAGTTTCGAATGGGATGTCAGGTCATTGAGGACGAAATCATGACTTTGAGTAAGTTTAGGCACGGCCTACGGGATGATCTCAGACGTGAGCTTGTTCTTCGAGGTGTCACCACTCTTGACCACGCCTACTCTTTCGTTCGGGATTACGAGTTAGCGACTAGGACGCCGTACAGAAGTCGTAGTGACTCCCGCACTGCAACCTCTTCTGCATCCACCCCATCCCCTAAGTCTATTCTAGGACCTCCTCCTTCTAATACTACCCCTACATCGGATGGTAAAGGTAGAGGTTCTAAGGTTTCAAGAACGTCCTCTCGTTTGCAATGCTTCAACTGTAAGGGTTTTGATCACATTGATTTTAAGTGTCCTAGCCGAGCCCTAGTTTTGAAAGAGCGTGAAGGTATAGTTGACGAGCCACTAGAGGATCAGGTGTATGAGCCTAAGTTAGAAGAGTTTGATGACTTGGAGGATAGTGAAGATACCTTCTTGGGTTGTATCCAGGCTAGTCCCCTTATCCCACATACACCTAGAGTCAGTGTCGTCCGTTGTACTCTTACCCAGCCGAAGGATGCCGATAATTGGCGCCGTCATGCCATCTTCCACACTTACATCAAGATTAATAATAAGGGTTGTAAAGTTATCATGGATAGTGGCAACTGCATTAATGCGATTTCAATGGCTACTGTATCCGGTCTAGGGTTGAAGTCTATCCCTCACCCCCAGCGAGACAGCGTCTTTTGGGTTGATACCTCCTCCATAGCTGTTAAGGAGCGTTGTTTAGTCCCTATCCAGTTTCTCGAGTATAAGACCATATATGGTGTGACGTCATTTCAATGGACGTCGGGCACATCATCTTGGGACGACCTTGGTTATTTGACCTAGATGTAACCATTTATGGTCGATCCAATTCCTGCTCCTTCGTGTTTAATGGAAAAAAGATTCACCTTAATCCACTGCCTCCGAAGCTTGTTGCCCCACTGGAAAAAGTGTGGAACGAAAGGGATTACATATTATTAGTCCTATGGAGTTTGAGCGTACACTTGTTGGTGACTCAGTTGTCTTCGCTTTGGTGGTCATGGAGGTCCCATCACACTCCGCAATAGAGAGCCCTGTTGAAATCCTATCGGTCCTCTAAGAGTTTCGAGACGTCTTTCCAGAGGACCTCCCTGATCATCTACCTCCACTAAGGGATATTCAACATGCCATAGACTTTGTTCCAGGGGCATCCCTCCCAAATTTGCCTCATTATAGGATGAATCCTACCAAGCACGCTGAACTTCAAAGGCAAGTGGATGATCTCCTTCACAAGGGATTCATTCGTGAGAGTTTAATCCCGTGTGCGGTCCCCGCCCTATTGACTCCCAAAAAGGATGGCTCTTGGCGAATGTGTGTGGATAGTCGCGCGATCAATAGGATCACGGTGAAGTATCGTTTTTCAATTCCTAGACTTGACGATATGTTAGATATGATGGTTGGTGCCACAATCTTTTCGAAGATTGATCTGAAGAGTGGATACCATCAAATTCGAATTCGCCCAGGTGATGAGTGGAAGACCGCGTTTAAGACGAAAGATGATCTTTATGAATGGCTGATCATGCCTTTTGTGCTGAGCAATGCGCCAAATATCTTTATGCGAGTAATGACACAAACTCTCCGACCTTTCATGGGCAAGTTTCTTGTTGTCTACTTTGATGATATCCTCATCTATAGTAAGACTAAGGAGCAACACCTTGACCACCTCACGCAAGTTTGCTCTACCCTTCGTGCAACTAATCTATATACGAATGTCAAGAAGTGCTCTTTCTTCGCCGACACAGTCGTTTTTCTGGGGTTCATTATTTCTTCGACAGGGGTATCCGCTGACCCTGCTAAGGTTCAGGCGATTATTGACTGGCCGGAACCTAAAGTTATTCATGATGTCATAAACTTTCACGGCTTAGCTACATTCTACCGTCGCTTTATTAAGGGGTTTAGCACTATCATGGCGCCTATTACGGAGTGCATGAAGAAAGGGGAGTTTCATTGGACACAAGAGGGAGCTAAGGCCTTTAAGTTAGTCAAAAAACGAATGACGGAGGCCCCTGTCATGTGTCTTCCCGATTTTTCCAAAGTCTTTGAAGTTGAATGTGAAGCCTCCGGGGTAGGTATAGGCGGAGTCTTAAGTCAGGATCGTCACCCTATTGCCTATTTTAGTGAGAAGTTAAATGAGCCCAAACAGCGGTACTCCACTTATGATAAAGAACTATATGCAGTGGTCCAGGCTTTGCGCTATTGGCGCCACTATTTGTTACCCAAGGAACTTGTCCTTTATTCGGATCACGAGGCTCTCCGTTACCTCAACTCCCAGAAAAGATTAAGTTCTAGGCATGGTCGTTGGGTCGAATATTTGCAGGCCTATTCATTTATTTTAAAACACAAGAAGAGCGTAGAGAACCAAGCAGCTGATGCGTTAAGTCGTCGTGTCTCCCTTTTGTCGATCATGAGTGTCAAGGTCATCGGTTTTGAAAGACTTAAGGAGGATTAGGATGCGTGTCCCGATTTTAAAGATATCTTACTCGATTTGCAAAGAGGACAATCAAGCGCCACAAATGGCTTCGGACTTGAGGAGGGCTATCTCTTTAAGGCCAATAAATTGTGCATCCCTCGAACTTCAGTGCGAGATTTCATCGTGTGGGAAATTCATGCGGGAGGGTTAGCCGGTCATTTTGGACGTGATAAGACCATAGAGGAAGTTGAACGTCAATTCTATTGACCTAGCTGGAAGAAAGACGTGGCTAAAATTGTTAGTACTTGTAACACTTGTCAATTGAGTAAGCAGAACACAGGTCTATACACCCCTCTCCCTGTCCCTGATTGTCCTTGGCAAAATGTTAGTATGGATTTTGTGTTAGGACTTCCACGCACCCGAAAGAAGCATGACTCCATTTTTGTGGTTGTCGATCGCTTCTCAAAGATGGCTCATTTTATCCCCTGTAGCAAGACGTCGGATGCGTCCAAGGTTGCCCTGTTATTCTTTAATGAAATTGTCAAATTGTATGGGCTTCCCAAGACCATCGTGTCTGATAAGGACGTTCGTTTCACTAGCCATTTTTGGAGAACTTTGTGGTACAAGATGGGTACCAAATTGAAATTTTCTACGGCCTACCACCCTCAGACTGACGGTCAAACTGAAGTAGTTAATCGAAGTCTTGGTAACCTATTACGTTGTCTAGTCCGGAAAAACCTTCGAAATTGGAATTTGATCCTTCCTGTAGCTCAAATCGCGTACAATAGCTCTATAAATCGTTCACTAGGTATGAGTCCATTTGAAGCCGTTCATGGGTACAAGCCTAGGAAACCGTTAGATCTCATCCCTATGTCCCCACAGGCTAGAGTGTCAGTCTCAGCCGAAGCATTTGCACAACATCTTCGTGACTTGTATATTGAGATCAATAAACAACTTGAAGCTAGTAATGCAAAATATAAACTCCAAGCTGATTTACACAAACGACATATTGAGTTTAACATTGGGGATTACGTTATGGTCCGCATTAGGCCAAAGCGGCGTCTACATGGACCCACCTCCAAATTGCAAGCGGCGTCTACATGGACCCGCCTCTAAATTGCAAGCTCGTAGTGCTGGTCCTTTTAAAATTTTAAAACAGGTTGGTCCAAATGCATATATTGTTGACATTCCACCACACCTTGGTTACCACTCTACTTTCAATGTTGAGGACCTTGTAGCTTATAAAGGTCATTTCATTCCTTCAGATGATCCTTTGTCATCTCCTATTGTGGACCTTGGCCCTGATTCTTTGACCCCTTCTAACCCACTACCACCTCTCCCAGCACACAAAGAAAAAATTGATACTATTTTAGATGAAGAAACTGTGTTCACTAATGATGGAGAGGTTCAGCGCTTCCTTGTTCGTTGGGTTGGTCGACCAGATTGTGACTGTGCATGGATCTCCAGGGAGACGCTACAGCAATTGGACCCAGATTTGTTAGAATTTTATCGAAGTCAGCAGGATCTTCATTGGCCCAGATCGCCTCCCGTCCACCCAAGAGGAGTTGGTGAGGACATCAGGTTCAGACCGCCACTGATGCATTTCTACAGACGCCGGAAGAAGCTTGCCCAGCCACTCAGCCTATGGTTGGGCGATTGACGGATGCCTATGGTGATATAGCCACTCGACAGGGTCGAGTTTTCTCTCCCACCCCGGGAGAATTGATGAAGACATCCCACTCCAGTTTTAATTATTTTAGTTGGACTTAGGTTATTTTAATTTTATGGACTTGTGCATTGGGCTTGGCCCTAAGTTTGCAGTATTTTTCAATATTTAAACCTATTTTAAATTGTTATTTTTCAATTGATGAATTTGATTAAATAATGAATTGGCTGTAGCCGTTTTCCTCCTTTCTTCCCTCTGTCCTTGTTCTTCTTCTTCTCCCCCTCCCTCACCTCTTCTTGTTATCTTTATTGAATTAATCACCCTGCATCACCTTCAACTTGATGGTTTTTGTGCATTCCACCGCTAGCACTTGTCCATTTATACTAGTTTTAGAGCTTATATCATTAATATTATTCCATTGCTAAACATATACATAATTATCTTCATGAAATGCAATGCTTATGGCTCTGCCCAGAGCAAACCAGCTTATCAACAGAAGTCTTTAATCCAAGTGTCACTTCCTAGTTCAATTGTAAATATCAATGAAAAAATATTTAAATGATAAACACGAGACTTACCATTTAAGCTTTTTAGACCATAATCATATGGTTCAACATGGTATCAAAGCAGACAAACGTCCTGGGTACGAGTCTTGCCACTCATTTATTATAAATTATGCAAGTGTAAGCTTTAAAGGGGAAAAAATGAATCCCTCCTACACGTAAGGATTGTGTTGAAGATAAGATTTAAATGATATACTTTTGAGCTTCTCTGAAATAGCTTAAGCTAAGCTTTTAGACCAAGTGGTTGAGATATATTATATGCCTCTTGTAACCTAAATTTCAGGACATGTAATAGAAAAATGAGCTACATGAAAGGTTAAGAAAACCTCTCGAGAACATAAAATGTAGAGATCCTGCTAGAAGCACAAAAGTTGGGAAAACAAACAGCTGATTTTATATTTCAAATCATGTAAAAGGGATACGATTAACTTTCAACAGAACTCTTGACAATATTATATGTGAGGACCAGTTACATGCGCAAGACAATAAGAAACATGTCATAGATAATATTATACATGAAATCCTGAAAACATCAGCCAAAAATTTAAAATTTTATGGAAAATATTAAAGGATTTCATTTTGAAAAGAATGAACTCTCGGCAGAAGCTAAATTAATCGTGGCAACCAAAATTCAGATATTGACCTTCATTTGCTTCGAAAATACATTAGAATGGAAGCAGATGTTCCATGCTGATACGTACATACGGCCATGATATAAAAATGACCTCTCGAGCGCACAAGAATAGCTATGTTCATCAACCTGGAAAACACCATAATTAATATCATCAACTCGATTCAACTAATATGAATAAAAAAGTGATTACATTTTCCCCATACTGAGACTGAAATCACACCTAGAGATGTCAATAATTAAGCATGTCTTCAAAATAAGTTGATAACCATACCTCGTCGGGGAGAAGATTAAATATTGTTTGCAACGGCCCAGGTTTCTGATGAACAACTGTAGGCCCTTGTTTATCCTTAGGTCTCCTTCGCGTGTTAGCACCAGCATAGCCATTCAAATCCCTATAAAATAATCAAGAATGATGGCTCGAGAATATCAGTAGCTTACTAAAAAGGAAATGTCATTGAGGAAGAGACGTGGAGTGATAATTTTGCAGGTTAGCATTCATTTCTGAAACAGAAAGTAACAGTTCCATTTTTTAAGTGCGGGCAGAGATATATATAACAATAAATTGCATGAAATGGAATATTCTATTTATTCAAAGATTGATATAATGTGTTAAAACAACATAGCAAATGTTAGCACTTACAGGACACAGCTCTAAGGTTAAAAAATAGCATAGATTCAAAAATTCATATAAAAAATCCTGCTAAATTGAAAAATTCCTACATTTCCCTATGCAAAAGAATAAGCCTTTTCCTGACCAGAGGGAATCATAGCTAAACATATCAAATGTAGCCAAATTATAGTTACGTAGCCAAAAGAGCCAGTTAGATCCTCATTAACAATTAATTTGACTAGCAGAACAAGAATGACAAGGGAATAACAATCCAAAAAGAATTAAACAAAACTATACCTGGGAGAATGCACTTGTAACTTTAGTGTTTTAATATGAAGACAGACCTGAATAGCATACAAAAAAAATGTATTGATCACAAAATCACTATCAATCGACGTGTAATAAATCTTCAGAGAGCAGAATTTATACAATATGGTACCTGCCCTGATGTACTGTCCAGAGAATACCATACAGCACCAGTCTGCCCTTCATTTTCCACAGGAATTGACACTGAACCAAGAACTGCACTTTTCCAAATTATATCCCAATCATATATTGTCACATTAATCTGCCCACACAAATTCATAAAAGAATCAGTTCAAGAACCAGAACTACAATCACATAACTGCTAGAATACTTAAACATGCACATTTCAGAAACATAAGAGGGGGGAAAAAATTAAAAAAAAAAAAAATCTGTATTTATAAATCTGCTTTATAATTATTAAACCTTTCCCATTTTCAAATTCAGATGAGAATCCTTACTTAGATTGGTATATATTATTTTAAGAAATGCTTGAATATTTCCAGTTCTATGCTTAAACTGAGCTAGATACCATAGTTTTAGGGGATGACATAAAACCTTAGGGTTAGGATATAACTGAAACGCATATGGAAGTAACATATTTGATTGGAACATTACTTGCTCAAAGAAGCTATCCAAAGAAAAAGGTTCCCGTAAAGTTTCTCAGCAATCAAAATTATATTTGTACATATTTGATAGCCTAAATCACAGAACTACATGTTCATATAAATTGGATCTATTCCATCTGGCATTAACTAATCTTTGATTTGTTGAGGACAAAATAAGAAAAAGCATTCTTTTGTTTAGATAACTAAAATTTTATAGCAAAATTGGCTGCAACCCAATCATAATGTGATTTGAATGCCGAGTCATTTTTCACACTTTTAATCACACAAGTGTGGGTGTAAAACAACCACCTGTACAGGAAGCTCATCCACAGAAAAATTGAACTCCTCTCCCCACATAGGATTTCTAGAGCCAGGAATCATTGAACTGAAAAAGATCACCAGATGAATCTTAGAGATATGTATACAAACCTTTGTATTAGTACGCAATAAAGGTGCATCAGATCTCAAACTGAGACATACAAACTATGCAGACAAGAAAATAATAAATAAATTTGAAACTATACCTGACCAGCACTTAGGTTACATAACTCAAAATTTTGAAGTATCCAATAATGCCATTCTAAGGGACATCATATCATCGTAGAAAGCAAAAAGAATACTGCAGTTCCAAATGCAGCAGTCATCATGCAGACAAATTTTTTTAAGGTAGTTTATTCATTTTCTCTATTCCTATGAGACGGCAAACTCCAACCTAAAAAATTATGTATAATCAAGAAATAAGGGATATAGCTCACAAAGATGGAAACAAATATAATTTCCCACTAAAACTCAATTTGGAACCACCATGTTTCAAAGAAAAACCAAGAGAATTGTAAATAAAAAAACGTAGTATTCCAAAATCAGACCACTTCATTCAATTGGCTAACAAGACAAGTAAACAAAGAAAACTAAGCATGGATATAATTTTACGCTACAAATTCATCGCCAAATGAAATGTATACTCCACTAGATTTAATAAACAGAAAACAATAACTGCTAGTGTAAATCGATGGTGAAAACAAACATCAATATCAAATGACATTGATGCTCACAAATATTCATCTTCATCCTACGTCGTGATCAACTTGAAATTAGAAGAGGAAACAGTATGCCTCTTCAAAATTACCAATTCTTCAGGCCAAGACAAGACCAAATCAATGGCATTCACCTGAAGCGCTTTTCTGCACCACAAGTGATAATTGCATAAGGGTCTGATGTGCCATTCAAATTTGCACCAATAAGATTCTTCGCTGCTAAAAGTTCCACCTAAACTCATGAAATAATATCTTAAGTGTTAATTGGACTATAATAGTTGCAAAGGACGCTCTTATATACAAAAACAGTAAAATGCTCAAAAAACCAAAAGATAGTTGCCAGCACAAGAATAAAGTTACCTTGATTAAATATGCAGAATTAGTTTCAGGGTCTCCCTTATACTGGCCCATCTACAAAATAAGTGCACAACTGCATGTCAAACAAGTGATAAATTACTCCGGGAACTAATACTAGTGAATGAAATGAAATATAAGAGTGATCCAATACTTAGTAAAACATAAAATTATAATTTTTTCGGATATTCATATTCTTACTAGTTGGAAATGAAGTTAAAAATTAAGTAAATTTAAACAATTGTTCCTTCAACTGCCTCTCAAGGAAAAATAAAACGAGAGAAGTGAAAACTGAAGTCTTCAAGAGAAATCAACATAATTTGTTGATCAAAAAAATCTAATCAACGTCAAAGTTGCAACTATCAATCCAAATTAGCGAAAATAACAAATATGACCTTGTCTCTATCGTCAATTACATCTACACTGCCACCGGAACTATCAACTGACACCCGATCAAAGCAGCCGCCGCATGCCTCGCCACCTAGAGTGAAAAACCAGTACGCCACCAATACGAAGACCACTGCCGCAAACGTGACTTGCACCTCCCACCACGACGGCATCAGAAACTCCAACGCCGCTTCTACCACCATCATGTGATTCATTTCTTGAAAATTCTCCTCTTTTTTCTTGATTTCCCCTCCAATTGTTCTCAAATTGCGCGTAAAACTATTCAATTATACTGTATACACGAAGTTGTTTATATATACTCGAGAAATAGTCAAAGAAATGGGGAAGAAATTGAGAGAAAAGTACAAAATGGTGAACAATGTGCATTGACATTTGAGGAATTTAATAATGGAATTATGAAATAGAGAAATGGCCTGAGGCAGTTGAGAGTTCTAAATTGGGGGGTTAAATTGAAATAAGAGTGAAAAATGAAGGGTATTTATGGAAAAGAACTTGAAATGGAATTTTGTTTTTAGTTTAACAATAAGAAATAGAGGAGAGGGGGCAACGTTTGCATTGGGCACAACGGAAAGTGAAGATGTGTTTGGTAGGGCAAAGAAAAGAAAGATTAAAAGTTGATGATCAAGCTCTATTATTGACTTATCTTGAAAATATCAGCCGGTAACCACACGATGTTCACAACAAAGGTAGTAGGATTCTAATTTATGATCACCCTACCCCTCGCTCGATCAACTCAATATTGACTTATTATATATAAGTGTTTACTTTTCCATGATCGCTAGACGAAAACTAGAAACTTGTTTTTGAAACGCAACTCATTCTTACTTCAAAACAATGGTTGGTGGATATCATTGACAGTGACATCTCTTTTTGCATACATTGGAGAAAATGCTCTGTAAGTAAAATTAGTCGATACAAGGTATTGAACAGATATTTGAAAATAATATGAACATATTCGGTAATAATGAAATTCAGTAGAGATATAAATAGTTAGAGTTATGTGCTCGATATGGTATTTAACAGAATTAGGTTACAAAAATATGTAGAAAATATTTCATTTAATGATAACTATAATGAGGAGGGTATCAAGTTTATGATTTCTCAGAAGTTCCTAATTATGCAATATAAAAGGACTGTAAGGAGAAAGAAACAAAAAAAAAGTTGTCAGGGGAGGAGGAAAAGTTGCATTGAATGTTTAATTTTGTTTAAGAGGTTGATTATTCCAAATCCAAGAGAAGGAAAAGTTGAAACTTGAAAAGTAGAAAATTTTTATATTTGAAGTTTTGATTAGTACATAGATTCTTCTTTTGATGAGGTTGTAGACGGGTTTGTCGAAACTTCATTTAATTTTCATTTCTCTTCTATTTAATTATTTTTATTTTACGTTGCGTTTAAGCAGTGTACTACTAGATAAAACTGGACGATAAGAGTTATCGGAAAATTAGGGTAAATGGTCCCTAGCCTATAGATGGTTGCACAATAGTCCTTGACATTCAAAATTTGATGCAAACATTGTTGACCTTTCACTCAATGTATGAAATTGATCTTTTTGGATAGTTTTCATGACCTTAAAAAAAGCCAAACTTTTGATATTAAAAAACTAAGATGCCCTTAATTTTAGTTAAATAAACAAAAAATATAATAACTAAAAAGGAAAAATTATATAATATGACAAAAAAATGAAAAGGCAATGCATCATATCAATATATCTCTTATTGGAGCATTGTGCATATAAGCAAAATAGAATGCATTCAAAAACCTCCTTTCCAATACAGGTTGATTGGGACTTCATCAAAATGATGTGATATAGGAAAAAGGAGGAGATATCAAAAAACTTTCAATCTACATTAGACTCGCAAATTTAAATTTGATTTCCTATACGATATATGGATTACTATCTAACTGTGTTAATTTATTATAATAACAACAAAATCACATTTAAATATACATATGAATTATAAATGTCGGCGAGTTAGATTGTTTAACAGAGCCTCTTTATCTAGACGGAGTTCTATAAAAATATATACATTATATATATTTTTAACATATCATTATGATGGAATTCGTATCAAATTTCATCAGAGAGAATTTTTTTTTTTTTAAAACATTATATTTTGCTTATACAACATAAATTTTTTAAGCAATCCATAATTGCATGGATGATGCTATTATGGGGGTTGGTTAGTAGGATAAGTTGTAATTTTACTAAAACAAGATTTCTAGAGTTTGGGAGTTTGTAAGTTGGGATCCATTTATATTTTTTGTTCACTAACTTTAATGTAACACTTTATAAAGATAAAGTACGTATGATTATTAGTAAGTATTTAATAGGTAATTGTCTTATTGTAATTTTTTTTCTATGCATTATCTAAATAGAGACAAATATCATGTCCTTTTTGTCTAGTTACAAATGTCTTAGGATAAATTGTACTCAAGGAGAATATTCCAGCAAAATCCTCTAATGTTTCCCTTTTGTAGAATGGGAATTGGGACATTACGCGGGGAATTGAAATGACAAGAATAGGCTTGTACTGGTATTAGGTTAGACCAGTTCTAAGGGTCGTGAAATTCAATGTTATAATTTATTACCATGCTACATTTACACAATCGTTTACACAATTTTTTATACGCTTGACACTCGGCCGCCCCCTAAGGGTCGTGAAATTCAATGTTATAATTTATTACCATGCTACATTTACACAATCGTTTACACAATTTTTTATACGCTTGACACTCGGCCGCCCCCTAAGGGTCGTGAAATTCAATGTTATAATTTATTACCATGCTACATTTACACAATCGTTTACACAATTTTTTATACGCTTGACACTCGGCCGCCCCCTAAGGGTCGTGAAATTCAATGTTATAATTTATGACCATGCTACATTCACACAACCATTTACACAATTTTTTATACGCTCGACACTCGACCGCCCCCTATTGTAGGGGGCGGCCGAGTGTCGAGCGTGTAAAAAATTGTGTAAATGGTTGTGTACAAATAGTTTTATCCTATAATTTAGTGGGTTGATTACGTAAATAATCACTGAAGTTTTAAGTAATTATGCCATAGTTATTCCATATCTCCAGTTCAAAGTAGTACACTAGTGGTCACTCGGTTAACAAAAACTAATATTAAATATTCGTCGCACCATTTCAATTTTTCAGTTTTCAATAGAATGAGTTGCTTTTAGACATTTTTAAAAAAAAATTAATTTAGTTTTTTTTAACCTTTAATTTTCCACATCACTTTAGAATGATATTTGGTTTGTACGTATAGTATTATTCTATTTATTACGTCAAGTCAACAAAATTGAAAAGATAGGAATTAAGGATTAACTACATTTAGATGTGAAAACGTAATGCGGCTTTAATTCTGATAAGATTTTGCTTAAATCATATATTAAACATGTTTGCTTTTTTTAACAACAATCTAACTCAGCGTGATAAATAACGCTATTTAGTAATACGTTGACACTTTTTGAGATTTAAAAAGATTACATATGAAAAACTGAACATACTGAAACTGCTAAAACGAATTTTGAAACTGGCAGGTCCACAAAAAAAAAGTGTGAACCAAAACCAATTTTACAGGTTCGTTTTTTTATAGAAAGTAGATATTTACTTATTTTTTTCTCACTTCCATCTCTTCTGGACCTTTCAAATCACGCATATGTTGTAGCTCATAAGGTTATATGAATTTGGTGATGGTGCTAAAACAAGTTGTTCGATGGTCAAGATGACAATAAGTAAAAAGTACGATGACCATGGATGGAATTGTCACGTGTTTTCTACAACGTGAAATTGTCACAAGTGTACGGTATCAAGTTTTATAATATAAAATTGGAAGTAGAATATCGAGCCCACAGGGATTGATATCTAATTCCTACTAATTACTATTTATTTTAGCTTTTACTTTATCTAGAATATCAAATTTAGAATTGATGTTTTTATACTAATCTAATGTGGATGTGATGACGATTCGAGCAAATTATAAGAGATTTATCTACGTGAGAAAGCCTAGGAAATGATTTCACCATCCAATCAACAATGTTTTTCAACTTTTATAGTTACTTTTAACAATTTTTCCTAATTTTTGATTAATTATATTCCCTTTCTCGAGTGCCGAAGAGAACATATCTCTATATTTTGATTCCAATATCTTTATTCCGAATCAAACATATAGAAATTATCAAGTATGTGATTCTTAAATGGAATAAGCCTCAAAGGTTTCATGTTTTCTCTCAAACCTATTGTGTTATTCATAGATCACGCCTAAATCTTACTCTCTCAAGTGCTGAAATTTAGAACATCAAATCATGCAATTATTAATCAGGCAATTGAAAGCAATGCGCAAGAATCAACACAATGAATTAATGGAAAGATCAAAAGAAATAATTATATTAAAATTCAAACATGTTTCAAGTTAAGCAACATCAAACCTTAAATTTAGAATCTAGTTTATAATTGAGAGAAACAACATAATCAAATCCAAAAGACAGAACATGGAGAAGAAAAGAGTAATAAAAACTGATTTGCCGCTTGAATTCCCCTGCAGATTGTAGTTGTTCCTCTCAATCAATCTCCATTTTCTTTTCGTTAAGCCATCTCCTCCCACATTAAGTCTTTTAGTTGGTATTTATACTCCCCTAGTGTTTCAAGACAAGTTGGAATTGGATCGGGCCGTAAATATTTAAGATCCTGATTTATTTCCTTTCTCACTAGGCAGCGCTGCATCGCCACAATGGTAGTTGCTAGCACCGCTAAGCCCAACGCCAGCACTTCTGCTTCTTTCTTTCTTCAGTTGGGCGCTGCGCAAATTTTTGGCATCTCCTAGGCGGCGCCCCATGTACTTCTTTCACCTCATTTGCTCATGTTCTAATCTCTCTTCCATTTCATTTTTTACTCCTTTAATCTCCATCCCATAATCAATGCTTTAGCTTTATTCCAAGCTCCGAAAATATGCTATTTTTTTTAAAGTTGTCTAACCTACAAAACAATACAAACAAACACATCAAGACACACAAAAATGCTCAAAAACAAACTAAAAATCATGATTTAGATGTGCTAATTCGATAAGTGCATTACACTCATCAGGAATTAACCCCAAATATCAAAGAGATAAAAAGGGTGTCCCTTCACCAAGTGCTTTAGAACTTAAACAAAGTTCTTCAAAACACACATTTGTACCAATGTAGCTCATGTTTTGCATATATTCTTTAAAATTTATTTTTAACAACACATTTTTCAATAAAAAATATTTTACTCGTATATTCATAACTTTTTCATGTTTTTTAACTGCACCTCTAAAAAAAAAGATAGAAAATCAATTCTTACAATTTTTTTTTTTATTTTTTTTTTTTACATCAAACAGGCTATTAAACTCAAAT